AGAGATACATGTTGTTGACATGATATGTACTGTATAAAATTTCAGCATTCAAGTAGTTGCTCATAGAAAGCAAACCATCACAATTTGCACAATTCCAACCAGCCATATAAGTACACATACAGATTTCCAGAAAGACTCGTTCAAAGCAAAACATACAAATTGAACACGGTTTCCTTGAGAAGACCATTCAAAGCAAAACCATCAAACTGGCATCGGCGTACAAAATTCAGTGCAGATTGCAAGAGAAATCCCATAAAAAAATTGCTGCGCTGGAATTGATTGTTGAAGCAAATTTACTTTGCCATACCTAATACTACACGTTACTGCTAGTATATATAAGCATCAGAGATTGCTCACAAGGGCAGAACTGCACACCATTCTATTTTCATATTCCAGCGATTATAAAATAATGTCATATGGAGAATACAGAGAAAAACCAATTTTCACATAGCCCAATATGACCAGAAACCACATACGGGGAGCAAATCATCATTTGTCGACATAGAAATTAGTCTGCTACTTCTCTTTGTCGGCTCAACATTACCAATGTTATTATGTGCTATCAGCAGAAAACAAGAACCGAGAGAGATGAAATTCAGTTTGCATCCAAAGCTCACTTCATTCCACACGGCTAGAGGTCTCCCCGTCCCAAAACATGCCTCCACCAGCAGAGCACCCGTGCTCCCCGTTCCTCACTGTTGAAGCTCCCCATTCCCCGCCAGTCCACGGTCACGGGCTCACGGCGACCCCGGCGGGGAAGAGAGAGGGAGGCGGGGAAAGTGGGAAGAGATGTACCTCGATAGCACAGGTGCCCTTGCTTAGCCGTCGCCGCCCAGATCCAAATCGTGCCTCCTCCCCGATCCAGGACAGTAGGACGACCTTCCAAGGCCAGAGTCGCGGTGGCAACCAGGCGCGCCGAAGTGGTGCTCAATGGTGGTGGCCTCTTGTCCAGGAGGCGGCGGAGGTGGTGGCGGCACGGGAGATCGGCGGCGCTGGGATCGCTTGGAGGTGATATGGTGGACGGGACTATGGGGACGACGCAATTTGGGGAATTTGGGAAGATGGAAAGGACTGGGGCAGAGGAAATAGCGGGATAAACATGTCATTAATGCGATTCAGGTGGATTTTATCCGCGTTATGGGCGGGGCCGTGCGGATCGAGAGTGCGGAGCGCTATGAGGATAGGCAGACCACGGGCGTCTACTGGCAGAACATTTCATCTGAGTCGTCGATCTGGCTAACAAATTACTGGCATAATATTGACGATAAGATATGTTTAAGTTGATTTGATCCGAGGGTTCTGGTTACCTTGTGTACAGTTTGCTGTGTGGTTTTAGGAGAACTTAAGTTTGCTCTTTTAATAGTAGTATAGATAATAGAAAAACAGAGTAGTGAGACAGAACTAGTGACATAAGTGATAAAAACCCTATTAAGTAAAGGAGAATTTGGAATATTGCCCAGAAAATAGGGCAACCTTTCTTGGTTTGTCAAAGTTTAGGTCTGCTCGGGCCAATGACCCATCATATATTGCAATTTATATTAGAAAACCCATCTTTGCTCTATACTGTGCCCAATAGAGGCTCCACCCAGGCGAGTTGGTGAGCTTGAGATTTGCTCTATTTTATTATACCTAAACTCTAAAAAGTGCGCGTGCACTAAATGGACTTGCCGAGCACACGCGCGTCGGATCCGTCGCGATCTGCGCGCGGTCGGGCCAGGTGTAACCTGGTCGGGGCGAGGCCGAGCGGCGCGTCGCGTGGTGGTGGGGCCAGGTGGAATATGGTCGAGACAAGCGACTCGCCTGGGTGGGGCCCGCAATTATGGCTCTCTCCCACAAACGGCTCTCTCCCCCATTCGGCGGAGTGGGCGGTTTCTTCTTCCCCTCTCCCTCGCCCAAATCGAACTCTCGCCGCTGCCCAAATTCGCCGTAGTCCGCCACACATCGGTTCTCTCGAGAGGCGTTCGGCGTCGTGGGTGGCCGGCGGCGGGAGTTGCTCCACCCCGCGGTACGCTGGCCGCGGGGAGCGGCTCTCGCTCGTGAGCTCGGTGACCGCGCAGTGCTCGACTTGCGGGGGTGGCGGACGGTTGCGAAGTGAGGCTGGCCTCGTTTTGTGCGGTGGCGAAGGAAGGAGAAGGTATGTTGACGCGATTCTTAACCCCCACCCCTGCTATCATCTCTCCATTTTCTGGCGATGGGAGTTTCTCATCTTCGTGGCGTTCTGTCTAGGAGCAACTAGTGCTTCTATCGATTTGCTAGTTGGTCGAGGTAGTTTTTCCCCGTAGATCACGATGTGTTCGGCAACAGCGTTGGTTAGGTTAGGTACTGGGTATGAAATCCCCCCCTTAATCTCCATATCTGTCCATGTTTGTTAATGCGAGCGCCAGATTCATGTGATTTTGTGGTCGAACTAGTTTGAGGGTTCGTGTCCTCCCTCAGCCCTCACTTCACCCCGTGCACATGCTATTTCAGCGTTTTTTGCTGTTGATTTTTGTAGTAGGCAAGTTTATCACCACCACCAGGCAAGTCATGACATGGGGTGTTAGTAGGGTTTCTCGTGAGCGGGCAAGTTCATGCGAACCGTCAGGCAATTTTATGGCACACTGGTGTTTTGTTAGTGTTTCCTGGGACTAGACAAGTTAATGCCATTTGTTAGGCAACTTATGTGCATACTGTTGTTTTATTTTTTGTGTTTTTACTGGTCCGGGGCAAGTTCATGTCAACAGTCAGGCAACTTATGGCAATGTTTTTTTTGTGTTTGATACGAGTGTCATGAAATCTTCCACCAAGATTCAGATAAAATGTTTACAGCAAGGTGAGAAGTAAACTAGGATCAATTGTTTGTAGGTTGATGATTGGCCAAGTTGGATTGCCAAAAATTTCACGATCAATGAATGGAAAAAGGGAGCTACTCCTCCTATGCCATTCATTCACGTAGGTAGGTGACCGACCAAGGGACCAGGACCCTTGCGGTGGCGCGAGTGAGATCGAATCAACCTCACATCTCACTTGCAATCAGAATTTGATAGGCTACGAGGTTTGTACAACATTTTGCACGGGCCCTGCTGTCCTGGCCGGGACCTGAGCTGTACCATACTCACAATGCCACCTATTTATATCCACGTTCCTCTCACTCTTCTCTGGACCAGGCAAGTTAGTGCCATTTTGTCAGGCAACTTACATGCACACGATTGTTTTATTTTTTGTGTTGTACTGGTCCGGGGCAATTTTATGTCAACAGTCAGGCAACTCATGACAAATGATTTTTTTTGTGTTTGATAGGAGTGCTGATAATCAGACTTTTTTTCGTGTTGATAATCAGATGATTGCTAGATAACAAGGCATTTTCATCCTAATATTCAGGCAATTTACATTCTTATAATCAGACTTTTTTCCACGGTGACAATCTTTTTGGTATGTAACTGCTTTTTTAAATTGCTTTTTTATAGGTAAAGATGACTAAACAAAGTAAAAAGCATGATCAACAGCAGTCAACAGAGTCACCGCTTGGCTCGGTTCCACCCCCTCTCCCGAAGCTGAGCGGGGGGTATTCCTTCTGATTTTTGCTACGTAAATAGCATTTTCAGTTTGATTGCTACTTTTTTTGTTAAAGAAATTTGTGATTTTATTACAGGCACCTACAACAGAAGAGCAAGGTGGTTCAACAACTCATGTTTACAAACGCAAGCGCCAGAAGCGGGTCATCAACCGGGGGAAGCGGCCTGCGGATATTGATAGCAATGAAGCAGAACCAGTAGGAGGTGATTATGAAGCTGATGTTACACAAGATGAACAACCAAAGAAAAAAACGGAAAGTGACTGAAAATGAGGTATCCCTCCCCCTACCCGCCTTTCCTCCCACGACCATATGACTACAAAGTCTTTGTTTTCTGACCAGCAAGTTGGTTTGTGTTTTTTTAGCTATTAGAAACTAGCAAACATTACCATCGGAACAAAATGTGGAGTTGCATTTCATGTTCTAGTTTTCACACATAAATTGCCTCCATTTTTCCCATGTAGCAGCAACTCATGCAGTACATGCATCTCAAATCCTTTTTATTTTTCTAAGCTAGGTGGGAGGCAACTTTTTTGATGGTCATGTCCCGGCAACTGATGCTACATGCACACCTAGCAAACAGTACCATGGGAAAATCTCATATTAGGAGGTGTAGGTTGTAGGCAACTTTATGTGATCCATGCACCAGAAAACACCAGAAGTTTAAGCACACATAAAAGCGCCAGAAGTTTTTGTACTAGCAATTTGTTGAGAAAACAAAAAAGAGCAACCAAGTTCTATGGTATGTTTTAAGCAAAAGTAGTGTTGGCAGTGAGCAACTTTTGTGTTTCTGTTGGCGCTAGAACTTCATGTATGTAGTGGGAAAGTGTGTGCAACTATAGTGGGTTTTTAAGCAAATCAAATGTTTTCAACAAGCAAGTCGTGTCAGTACATGATAACGGTTGGCTGATGTATATCGAGAGAAACCCGTTGATGTTTTTTTAACTTATTAGATATGCTTAAGCAAATCAGTGTCGCCAGTAAGCAACTCATGTATATGCTTTTTCAGAATCAGTTCCCCATGTTTTTTGCTCTCGCAGTAGAAATAACTTTAGTTTGTCAATTTTTCAGGGTCATAGGAACAGGTCATCACCTGCAAGGCTTTTTAAGTTGAATAAAGATCTCGACGAAGACCAAAAAAATATTATCAGAGGCATAGACTTTGGGGGCTTGTTGGATATGCCAGCTACAACCATGCCCGGTGATCTCAGCCAGTGGATCATGAAACACTACGACCCAGAGAAGTCTCAAATTGTTATACCAAATAGAGGCAAAATACCAGTAGGTGCAGATAGTGTTAGGAGGATTTGGGGTTTGCCCAACAGTGGCAGGAAAGTATGTTTTGAAATGAATCGAGATGTTATAAGGGAATTCAACAGTATTTTCAAGATCGAGGGAAAAAACGCCCCTACATTGACTTCATGGTGTAAAATGATTGGGAAGATGAATGGGGGCGTGCGATGACAATTTCCTGCGTGCTTGGTTGGCTATTGCATTCTCCTGCTTCCTTGCCCCAACCACAAGCTTGAGCATCTCACCAAGGTGTTACATTGCTATTCTTCACACAAGTGCTGTAAAAGACGCCAAGATATGCGACTTTGTTATTGATCAACTAAGATTGGCATTCATGGGTTTTGGTGACAAGAAGAAGGTTGTTTGCTGCTGTGTTTTCCATCTAGTTGTAAGTATGAGGCAACTCATTTCTAATATGTTTTCTTTTCCATAGTTTTTCCTTTTTCAATGCAAGCACGAAAGAGCCATGTGTTTCCTAATAGTTTTTGCAATTTAATTTTTTTACAGATTTTGTATTTGGATTCATTGGATGTTGATGAACCAATACCTGCTACACTTACAAGGGCAAGCATCTGGAATGATGATCTAATAACCAAAGTCATGAAGAAAGACAGGAAGGGTCCAGGAGTGTATGGCAAGCTGTGTGTAAGATCTTTTCGTGCAAGAATTATTTAATATCAAAACACACATTAATTTGCAAAAAACAATTTATAGGTTACAGAAACAATTTTTTATACAAATTATGCCAAACACATTGTTACAAGTTTAGGCAAGTCATAGTATTAGGAGCAACATAACTTGCCTGTGGAACAAACATATGATTGGGGGTAATAGTTTTCCTTTTTCCAAGCAGTACAAACACATTTGAATGTTGATTACATTATAGTACTTGCCCAAAAAATTATATTACAGTACTTGCCTGCAATAGAACAGGACTTGCATGCTTTACACTAAATTACAGTACTTGCCTGGAAATAGAACATAACTTGCCTACATTTTTACTTTTGTTGTTCTGTATTGTACATAGCAAATAACCTAGCTAGATACTGTAACTATGACTGTTATGTTTTTGCCATTTTTTCAGACAATAATGAGAAACTTGCTATACAATAGTGGAAAATGTGTAGTTCATTCTGTCAGTTTTTCCAGTCCAAAGCGGGGCAACCTCCATAATGTACTACTTTCCTTTTTCTTTGATCGAAACATGGCAAATCTAAAGTGAAATCCAAGACAATTTATACTATAAACATAGGCAAGTTATATTACTACCTATACGGATCAACGACGTTCATTTATTTTTTTCGCCTTGTTTTTGGTTTTGATGAAAATAGCTCAAGACTGAATTTTCACAGTGTGCAAACGACAGTTTGTTTGGAAGCTTGGACCACGTTTCAAAATTCGTTGCAGCTAGGTTGCCTGAAAGTCACGGCAACTATGTAAGTTCCAATAGCAAGAAAGTCCTTTATATGTTTTCTCACTACATTTTGGATTTTTTCTGATCCTAATGAGTATACTATCTGACACACATTTACGTCTCTTTGTTTTTGGTGTGCAGAAGCAAAAATAGGATAACAGGAATGGTCCATGAAATGTGCACTGAAATGTCACATGCTATCGAGAAGCTCGTAGTGGGCATAGGGAAGCTTGACGAGGGGCAACCCAGCTCAAGCAAGAACATGGACATTAACCCATAGGCAAGTGAACATACCAGTTCTCAGAGGAAGCGAGCAACACCTAGAGTGATTGAACACAGCTCAAGCGAGGATGAGGAGTCATTCAAGTCGGATGAAGAGAGCGAGGATGAGGACGACGACGAAGACAATGAATCAGAACAAGACAGTGGTAACTCGGGGGATGACAACGGAGATGACTGTTCAGATGATGATGATGACAACACCAGTCATGGAGGCAATGTCAGACACAATTCTGCTGAGGATGATGCCAATAAGGATAGTGAGGAGCCACATGAAACAACATAAAACAAGGGCAACAACGGTAAGGACAGCGGCAATGTGCAAGGAAGGAACAACAGTGACCCCCAAGTTGATGAGGAAGAGGTAAACAAGGCCGATGTGCCGCAAAGCGAGGCAACTGAAGATGACGAGACAGAGAAAGTTGGTGAAGATGAGGACAGTGAGGACCAAGTCAAGAAGTGTGGAGGCAAGAAAAACGATGATGGAAATGGAGATGATGAGGACCATGGCGGAGGAGCCAATATAGGAGGATGTAGCAGGACAAACAATTCTAATGGAGATGAAGGAGAAGGAAGTTCAAGCAGCAGCGGGGACAGCGACTCTGGATCAATTTTCTTTATCAAGCAAAATGACAGCAAACAACTAGCAGGAGATGCTACATAAACATTTTTGCTTATAGATTTTGTCAAGACGGAGTTCAAGAAGCAGTGGGACCCCTTTCAAAAGGAACTTGAAGTGCCACAAGTGTTTGATGGGCGGAAACCCCACTCATATGCAAGCACATTATTCGGTCAGATGGTGTTTCGCGATGAGGAAAGAGAAACATGCATCAAATTCAATCCTGAGGAGTTATGCCCCCCGAAAGACAAACTGAACTCATGCAAGCAGTTTATGGAATTAATCTGCCGCAGGCATTTTCTAAGAAAGATTTAATGTCAATTGCACCAAGGAAGGAAAAGAGAGTGTCGTTCAACCTGAATCCAAACCCTGTTGCATCTGCAGAAAGGATGGAACCCACTTGTCTGAAACCATCACTCAAACATAGAGGCCAAACTGAAAAAGTTCAACAAGCAACTATGTTGGCTAACAAGGCAAGTCAAGAAAAATGTCAGGCAACTTATAGTGTTCAGAAGCCGGTTGAGCAAGGCTGCAAAACTGGCACTATCAAGCAAGCAAGTTCAATGGGGGAGTTGCCCACCACAGGAGTGAAGTTGCTCAATGAGAACCGACACCTTGACAACTTTCCAGACTCTGGTACAAAACAACAAGGACAAGTGGATGTGTTGCCTAGATCTGTTGTGAAGTTGTCTACAAAGAGTCCTCAGGTTGATCCTGTGCAAAGGAATGATGCAAAACAACCAGTACCTCTTGAGAAGTTGCCCAACAATGTTATTGAGTTGCCTCGGAGTAGATCTTAATCTTTGCCCCACGGTGCAGTCCCACCTGGCGGAGTGGTGGTGCGAGGTGAGAAAGAGGATTGCCAAGACAAGCAGGAAAGGCTTTGACACGATGGTTATGTTAATATGCTGGTCTCTGTGGAAGCATAGGAATGCGAGAGTCTTTGGTAGGAGCGACATGTTAGATGTGTTCGGCGTGACAGAGGCCATATTCCACGAATTGGTCATCTGGATGTAGGCCGGAGCAACTGGAGTGGAGCATGTAGTTGAGTAGCACATAGAGTGTCGAGTTTGGAGTGGAGGCGATGTCCTGGTCGACTTGTGACCACGTGACTAGCTACAAATCTCTCCTGTACATATTTTTTTCCCTTCTATAAAGCTATGGTACGCCTTTGGCGTACCCTCGAAAAAAATACATGACTGATGGAATAAAACCAGTGCTAGAGGAGAAGTTTCCTAGCCATGTTGCTGTTTTGGCTGCAAGGACCCCTGAGCTTGCGTGTTCTTCTATGATGGCTGGGAAACAAACAGTGCCCTTGTCAAACAAGAACTCGCCGAATACTATTGCTGACTTGCCTGGAAGGAACCACCAACCCGCCACCTCAGATATGACCGTTGGAAAAAAAATAGTGCCAGAGAACAAGTTGCACGGCACTGAACAGATGATGCCTGTAGGGACTGATGTAAGACATGTAGGACCGGTAGCAAAGTTACTGAAGACTAACCTGAGTTTGCCTCCAACACACTTCCAAGGTGATGCAAACAAGGAGAACTGGCCACCGGTACCACACAAGCAACAAACTGTTGATATAGACAAAATAAATGAAATTATAGACAAGTGTGTTGCTCCAACAAATGCTCCCTTCCACATCCCACCACAGAGAATAGTTGAAGAGCCAGCCAACGACTTTAAGAGTAGAAAGGTGTCCGGGATGTGCGACGACTACTGCCCAGCTCCAAGTTTTGGAGTGATTTTCGATGAATTGGAACCTGTCCTTGAGGAAGGAGATAAGGACATCAACAAATGGGATGAAGTTCTTAACATGCAAACAGAGAATATCACAACAGCGAGCATAAGAGAAGTAATAAACCTTGATGATGATGTGTGGGATGCAGAGGAACTAGAGGCAGCGTGTGCTGAAGCAGAACGAAGGGGGAAAGAATTAGTTAATTGTGCTATGTTCAGTACACCAGAGAAAATCATCAATGAAATAGATGTGGGGTCAGGTGGTAAGTTTTCTAGCAGTAGTAGTTTAGGGGAGGTGATTACCAACAAATTTGAGAGGAGGCTCATCAAGCCATCAGCATCTTTGAGATCACCTTTCATAGGCACTGACAACAAAAAGGAATTCTATTGCAAACCCGAAGTCAATCGCTTGTATGCATCTGTTATTTTGCACGCAAGGCGCAGTGCAGAAGAATCACCCGATACGGATAACAGGTATGTATCATCACCTTCTTCATTGTTTGTTTTTTCAGGCAGCTACAATACTCATGTATAGGCAAGTTTACTTTTTCATGCTTTATTTTTGTCTTGTGCAAATTTATTGTACAGCCCAAGACTCATTGAATTCGAGGGATACTTTGTAACCTTGAGGGAGCTCGCGGAGTCCATGAAGTGTGGTGGTTTCGTCGTTTCGCATGTTTTCCAAGTTGGGTTACAAAGTATAATTTACAACTTGCCAGCAGATTCAAAGAAGGTTATCATGCCAGTTAAATTCTCGGCAAGAGATGCACCCTACAGTGGCTTTTTTGCCCTTTGCTCCCCTTCTTGATGGTGATTTGTAACCCAACCAATGGAAATTTCATCTTTTCGCTCCATGTTTGTCTATGTGTTTTCTACAGGTCAGGTTACAACAGATGATATGGAATACAAAAGAGATTACTGCCAGGTTTAACAAGTCCAATCACTTGGATCGAAAATACATGGTGAGTACACTATTTTTTCCTTCTTTTAGTCTGTTGGCAAGTTGTAACAAGCTGTGACTACTTGCTTCAAAAAATAGAAGTTAACAAGCTACGACTTTTCTTTCTCCTGTAATTACCTAAACCACTAGTTGCCTCATCATTTCTGGCAGTAATTGCATCATCATCTTCCAAAAGTTCCTGCCTCGAATCTACTTGGCAAGTTGTTTATGTTGTTCTGGTAGAATGACAAGTCTAGCCCAAATTTTTAGACAGCCACAGACTTAACCTTTTTATTCGATGCAACTTTGCTTCAGGAAAGAACTTGTGTAATATGAAACTCAAGAAAACCCAAAACTTGCCTGCTATGGAACATGTAGTTGCCTCAATTGCAGGTGTAAGTTGCTTGCTTATTTTTGAAGCAAGAATTACCTGATCCACTAGTTGCCTCATCAATTACAAGTAGTTGCCTCATCATCTTACAAGTTGTTGCCTCAAAACATAGTTGACAAGTTGTTTATGTTCATTTTCCATAGAATGACAAGTCTAGCTCAATTTTTTTAGAGAGATTCAGTCTTAACCTTTTTATATTTGTTGCACCTTGCTTCAAGGGAAGAACTTCTGTAACATGAAAGTTAAGAAAACCACAAACTTGCCTACTATGAGACATGTAGTTGCCTCGTTGTAGCTGTAAGTTGCTTGCTTTTTATTTTTTGCTTGAATTCTCTGAACCAGTAGTTGCCTCATCAATTACAAGTACTTGCCTCATCATCTTGCAAGTTCTTGCCTCAAATATAGTTGGCAAAGTTGTTCATGTTCTTTTCCGTAGAATGACATGTCTAGCTCAATTTTATAGATAGCCTCAGTCTTTACCTTTTTATATTCGTTGCAACTTGCTTCGGGGAAAGAACCTATGTAACATGAAAACTTAAGAAAACCACAAACTTGCGTGCTATGAAACATGTAGTTGCCTTAGTTGTAGCTGTAAGTTGCTTTGCTATTTTATTTTTTGCTTGGATTACCTGAACCAGTAGTTGCGTCATCAAAAAGTGTTTTGCCCTCTTTCCTTTTGATGAGTACTTTCTTCTCAAATTGCCTCATTTTTTATCTGAATCTCATATTGTTTTTCTGGAAATGCTTTTCTATCCAGATTATGTTTCCTATCCTAGAGAACATTGACCCAGAAAAACCAGTATCGGGGAATCATTACTGGGTGTTCAATTTGAACATAAGGGACAAGAGGTTTGAAGTCCTTGATTCCTGGAGGACACTAGATAATCCTGTCTTGGACAAGAACACTAGGTTGATAGCAGCAGCTGTTCGTAGTTTATGGGAGCATCATTATGGTCACTCACGTGTTGTGCTGGATAAGTTTCCGCTAGTCAACATCGATGTCCCGAGGCAGAACAATGAGTAAGCAACTTTTCCCAATACCAATTATTTGGAAACCAGTTTTTACTTATGTGTAGTTTCTTAAACAAGTTTTTCTTGCCCCCTGTGTGTTAAAAACAGCACTGACTATGGCATTTACGGGCTGACGAACACCAACAAATGGGTTGCTAGGGCTGTTC